CAGGGGGAGGGGGAGGGGGAGGGGGAGGGGGACGCGGCGAGTCCGTCACTCACCTCAGCAAAGTACCAAGGTCCTTGCACACTAACAGAGCCGAGCACCGACTGCGGGGCGGTAGCTGCGCATGCGCGATACTCGCCGTCCGGATCAAACCGCGAGCTCCTAAACTCAGATTCGGATGGGGGTGGGGCTAAGCGGGGCAGCATTGGGCGGAGAGGGAGGAAGGAGAAAGGAAGAGCCGGAGAGGGGGTGGAAGAGGACAAGTTCCCGTGCTGTATCTCCGCCTACCCCCATCATTTTTCTATGCAAGGGCATGCCAGGAGCCCCACCCACCCTGCACTGCTCCTTTTGCAAGTGCCCTCAGTGTGACATGGCTGCATGCCACGGCAGTGAGCAAGTGCCCTCTCCCACCCTGACTGATCCTGGACCACGCCGCCCCAACCCACTCTCACTTAGGGATGTGAAGGACTAGTCAACTGTCCGATAGGCGGATAGTCTACAGGCTAGTCAACTAGTTGCTTCCCTTCCCTGCTTGCTGCCCCTATCAAAAAGAGGCAGCAAAGCGGGGGAGGGAGAAGAGGAGGTACTTCAAAGTAATTAAGGAATTCATCAGTAAACACTTGGAAAGTGGCATGGTGATAGGGAACAGCCAGCATGGATTTGTAAAGAACAAATCGTGTCAAACCAATCTGATAGCTTTCTTTGATAGGATAACTAGTCTTGTGTATGAGGGAGAAGCGGTGGATGTGGTATACCTAGACTTTAGTAAGGCATTTGATACAGTCCCGCCTGTTATTCTTATCAATAAACTAGGCAAATACAATTTAGATGGGGCTACTATAAGGTGGGTGCATAACAGGCTGGATAATTGTACTCAGCGAGTAGTTATTAATGGTTCACAATCCTGCTGGAAAGGTATAACAAGTGGGATTCCGCAGGGGTCTGTTTGGGACCGGCTCTATTCAATATCTTCATCAATGATTTAGATATCGGCATAGAGAGTACCCTTATTGGCTACAGCTAGACTGGCATGATTTTTCGCAAATGCTTTTAACGGAAAAGTTTTCTGTTAAAAGCATTTGTGGAAAGGAGCATCTAGATTGTGACAGACGTTTTATGTTAAAAGCATTTGCAGAAAGGAGCATCTAGATTGTGACGGACACACATGACAAAACTGTGGGAGGTGAGCAGCCTGCGCACTTCCGGAGCCTATGGAAGTGACACAGACTTCACCCAGGACTTCCATCCACCCCGCGGGAAGCCAGCACGACACTAGAGGTAGATAGTGGGGCTTCTCGGGGATGGGGGAAAAATGGAGGGTGGGGGTGCCCGAACGCCTCATGATCGACTTGTCGAGGCCTCACGATCGACCAATCAATCGCGATTGCCAGGTTAGTGACCACGGTTGTAGAGAGTGGGCTTGTGGTAGTCACCTCCCTGAGGCAAGCTCTTTTCTCTCTCTTCAGAAGGGTGTGGTAGCTGTCAGCCTGAGGCAGGTGTTCAGTAGTTGGAGCAAAACATATTGGTGTTCGTTATTTTACTGGGGAATACACATGCACGTGCAGGTTTATTCCAGTTAGGTAGAGCTCACTCACATATAAGATGGTGCAAAAGGGGCTAGGATGGAGGCTAATTAGGGAATTCTAATCTGTTGGCTGTCAACAGCCAACATTGTCATCTCAGAGGAGGTGGTGATCGCTGGCAGTCCTTAATATGGATATCTGTGAGGCAATGTAGAAAGCTTTTGTTGCTTCTCCCTTTTACCTTACTGAATGTTTGATGTATGGTAGTTTTTGTCCTTCATTTTGATCCTTCCTGCCCTTCCTACTTGTTTCTTATATTCACACCCTCCCCCACTTCCCTCTATTAAATAAAGCAATTTTGGTTCAACATCTGGTGTGGCATATTTTATTGGGTCAGCTCTGAGAGATGGGCTTAATGAGAGAAACTTAGAAGGAGGCCTCACTGTGAGGGACTCCAAGAAGATCTCACCAAACTGAGTGATTGGGCAACAAAATGGCAAATGAAATTTAATGTGGATAAGTGTAAAGTAATGCACATCAGGAAAAATAACCCCAACTATACGTACAGTATGATGGGGGCTAATTTGGCTACGACAAATCAGGAAAGAGATCTTGGAGTTATCGTGGACAGTTCTCTGAAAACTTCCACACAGAGTGCAGCGGCGGTCAAAAAGGCAAATAGGATGCTAGGAATTATTAGGAAAGGGATAGAAAATAAGACCCAGAATATCTTACTGCCCCTGTATAAAACTATGGTACGCCCACATCTTGAATACTGTGTACAGATGTGGTCTCCTCACCTCAAAAAAGATATTCTGGCCTTGGAAAGGGTTCAGAAAAGGGCAACTAAAATGATTAGGGGTTTGGAACGGGTCCCATATGAGGAGAGGTTAAAGCGACTGGGACTTTTCAGTTTAGAAAAGAGAAGACTGAGGGGGGATATGATAGAGGTATATAGAATCATGAGTGGTGTGGAGAGGGCTGATAAAGAAAAGTTATTTATTAGTTCCCATAATAGAAGAACTAGAGGACACCAAATGAAATTAATGGGGAGCAGGTTTAAAACTAATAAAAGGAAGTTCTTCTTCACACAGCGTGTTGTCAACCTGTGGAACTCCTTGCCAGAGGAGGCTGTGAAGGCTAGGACTATAATAGAGTTTAAAGAGAAGCTGGATAAATTCATGGAGGTTAGGTCCATAAAAGGCTATTAGCCAGGGGATAAAATGGTGTCCTTGGCCTCTGTTTGTCAGAGGCTGGAGAGGGATGGCAGGAGACAAATCACTTGATCATTGTCTTCGGTCCACCCTCTCTGGGGCACCTGGTGCTGGCCACTGTCGGTAGACAGGATACAGGGCTCGATGGACCTTTGGTCTGACCCAGTACGGCCGGTCTTATGTTCTTAAGTTCTTATGCCTGTAAAACTCCTTATCAATCTTATAGTCAGAGCCCTGGCCTCTTCCTTTACAAGTCCAGAGGTTTGACCAGAAAAGAGGCTGGAGCAGGAAACAGGCAATATGGTGGTGTTTTCAGGGCTGTTATAGCTTTTGCCATATAGAGGAGAATCCATTGTTTCAGACATAGCCTTCCTCACAGCCAGTGGAAAATTACAAGTAAAGATGCAGTTTAGAATCACATGGGTAGGTCACATGCACGATTTTGCTTAGTCACATGCACATGTCCATGCACAATTTTGCTTAGTCACAGCAAAAGCTATAACTAGCCATTACTTCATGATAGATTTAGGGGATAGCCAAGTTAGCGGCACAGCCATAGGCACCCGCATGGCACCACAATATGCCAACATCTTTATGGCTGACCTTGAACAACATTTCCTCAGCTCTTGCCCCCCTAGCATCCTTACTGTACTTATGGTACATTAATTACATCTTCATCATATGGACCCATGGGAAAGAGACCCTTGAAGAATTTCACAGGGACTTCAACAACTTCCACCCCACCATCAACCTCAGCCAAGATCAGTCTACATGAGTGATCCACTTCCTTGACACTCCAGTACAATTAAATGATGGACAAATTTCTACCACCCTATACTGGAAACCTACTGACCACTACATTTATCTTCATGCCTCTAGCTTTCATCCCAGACACATTTCTCAATGTATTATATTGTATACAGCCAAGCCTTAAGATACAACCAAATTTGCTCCAATCCCACAAACAGAGACAAACACCTACAGCAGCGGACAGTGGCCAACCCAAGGCTCACGAGCTGCATTTGGCTCACGAAGAAAAAAATTGTGGCACTGACCCAGGTCAGTGCTCAGGTCAGCCACTCTCATGGCATGCGTGCTCACAGCCCATGCTGTTCTGCTCACGGCCCCCAACGCACTGCATCATATCCTGAATGTGCAGGCTGGGTCGCACACAGCGTCCAAGCCTGCACGTGCTAGCAGCCGGCCGCTGAGTGCAGGCAGGAGATTTAGCCGTGGGGGGGC